ATATTGTTAACCGTTAAAAAAAAAAAAAAAAAAAGAAAGAAAGGAATAAATTAAAGTTCTTATTATGATATACTTCATGTAAAATTATAATTGTTGTTTAGTCAACAATTTTCTATTTCCTGAAAATTACTTTCTTACATTTATAAATCATTTCAATAACCAGAGATTTCAGAGAGAAATGCAAACGCCTTAATCTTAAATTAATAAAGGCATTTAAATACAGTTCTCACTAATTCGATTAAAAAGGAAATGAAATTTTGGGAACCAGTGAATAAATAAGTTTTTATTGCTAGAAATTACTACTGATGAATAATTGACTCTATAGTGGCGTCATCTATTACATTTTAAATTATAAAAAATCTTCTAGCTTTAAAAGTGAAAAAAGAAGGAAGTTTTTATAGCTAGAAATTACTTTCGATGAATAATCGACTATAGTGGCGCCATCTATTAAATTTTAAATCAAACGAATTCAAACATTTTATTCTTAAATAGGAAAGACATTTACTTATTTGTTATTTTACTCGGAAAATTATACAAATTTACAAATATAAGTGTATTGAATGAATAACATTTAAATTTAATATTTTGTTCCAATTATATGCCGAGATCGACATTTCTTGAAAGATTGAACTTCAAATTTGTTCTTCTATTACGGGCAGAGAAGCACAGATTAAACGTTGAGCTACACTGAAAAATTACAAATATTTGATAAAACTAGATATTCACCAAAAAAGAATTGAAATAGTTTTCCATTTTAAAATAGCCATACAAATAATTGTCTTTTTCTATACATTTTTACATAGTTGTATATCGCACACATGTTATACTGTACCAATTCTTCAATCCTTACGAAATTAATTTTAATATTTTTTTCTAGTCCATTGTGCATTAAAAACGAAACAAGCTGTAAAACAGTTTATTTCTAAAAGTTTAATTCAACTCATTTAATATAAATATTTAATATAAATATTCAATTCAAAATGTACTTACAAATCAATTGTTTAACTTAGGTTAACCCGAGACTGTTATGAAGGGGAAATTGCATTTTGTGGTGCTAAAGATAACTTATTCAGCCACTGAAAAACTGGCTTTTAATATTTTTAAGTGTAATATTCAATATTCACTGAAAAAGTGAAAATTTCACTTAAAAAATATTAAAAACAAGTATTAATTTTTGTTTTTTGTTTTAGCAATCGAAAAATGATGGAAAATAATTTTACTCCGTAATTCCAAACTTTTGAGAACATAATGAGGCAAACCCTTGAAGAAAAAGTCAATAATTATCCAATAGCCATTAACTACTACTTTTGGGACTTTTTTCGGTGCATGAATCGATATATTTTGATTCAGTGGAGGATTTTACGCGAACCGATTGGACTGTGTAGGCGTCAGGAACTGGATGAGCATAAGAAAGTTTCTGGGCTCGAATCCCGGCCACGGCATGGATGTTGTTTTATTCTCTGTACTATCGGTCTTTAAAGTGGGAGCAGCGTTGGCCCACCTCATATGGTGCCCTTGGAGGAATGGTCAACAAATCTGCCACGAAAATGCCTGATGAATTGTTATACAAAATCTCCAATGTTAACACAGGTGGGCATTTAAAATAAAAAAGAAAGATTATAAGCAATATTTTAGTGGTTTTATTGATAACAATTTCAAAAAAAATATCAACCGCAAGAAACTTATAATGAAAAACACTTTTTATTTTTCTTTATGTCTTAAATGGAAGAAAAAGAAAATAGGATTACATTTAACAGAAACAAAACATTTATTTAAATAAAAATCTTCGCATTTTTTTCAGAATGTTCATTGATGTTTTATTCCTCGGATCTTTTTATTTGCATATATAAAAACAAATACTAAATGGAGGAGAAAGAAGAAAAAAAAGGGGAAGTAACGAAACATTATGATAATGTGCGAAAAATAAATAACAGAAAATCAAAATAACTTTTAATCTACCTGATTTTTCGCGTACTAAGAACGTAATTTTTACATTTCAAGGGTTTACTTTTAAATATGCTTATTAGATTAAATCGAAGATGATTAAAGAAAATTTAAGAAGGATATTTGATTGTGTCGTATATATATGAATAAACAGATTTTTTTTTCAGAGGACTCGGACTCTTGGTCCTCAAAATATGAAACTTATCCGCAATCAAGAAAATACGTTCCGTGTAATATGGGCAAGAGAGCTGTCATAAGTTTGGGCCCCTTAATGTTAAATTTCCTTTTTGAGGGTAGTATGTTTAAAACATGCATGTTAATTCAGGGAACATATATTCTCGTAACTTAAAATAATTGTCTGTTTAAGTAAGTCCCTCTACCCATTAAAAACCGACCTGTAGATCAAAAGTTATTACGGTTATCTTTTTTTCCCCTATCAGTCAAAATAACCACATCATCCTGTATAACTTTCGATCAAATAAAATCAGTTGCTCTTTAATAAATTAAACAAGTCCATACATAACATGAAAACATAAACGTTTTTGGAAAGGTTCGGTATCACAAGTTTTAAAGTGATTTGATTAAATTTTACTATTTAATACAGCTTGAAACTGATATGGAAAAATACAAATAGATTTGCTTGAAATTTAGTATGATTAAGTTCATGTTATTCTCGTTAAAAATTTTAATCACCGAAATGTTTGAAACTGAAAACTTTTAAAGTAATGAATAAGTTCCTGCTTCTTATTTTTCTTAATTAATAAATACTTGTATTTATCCAACGATGGTAATTATTTCTGGGAATTTTATATTTAGAATGGCATTATCTACATAATAAAAGTTTTTGTTAATGCAATCAATTGCGTTACAATTTTTTTATCACGTTATTGAGGAGTTTTTTTTAAAAAATTCATATCAACTTTTTTACTGATTCTTACGTTCTCTTTAAACTAGAATATCGCTGTTTGATATTTTCTGTAAGTAATGAAAATTTTTCATACATTAAAAAAAATACATTGAGAAAAAAAGAATGGTCAAAAGAACTATTTTACCAGAATATGGTTAAATTTACCATGTTCCTTGCTCTATGGAAACACCAGAATACACATTTTTACCGAAGCGCTTT